TATAATGACATGAAGACAGTCTACAAATTATCCTCAGGTATTTCATTCTTGCAAATTTCTCCAACGTACATTCCCAAAGTCTTCATTTGCACACAGCTTAAAAAAAACACACACACACACCCCCACTAATCATTAAAGAAAATACACACTGACAAACATCCAAAACCATCAAAAATATGGTCATGATGATGCTGCCCTGTAAACAAGAAGGTAAACACTTGTACATGACTGATCTGTATTATTTTGGCTAACTGAATACTAACTTGGGTTTGATGCCCCTCACACATACTGCACCAACAATGTATTTTCTGCCAGCTTCCAGCATGCTTAGAATGGCAATGTAACTATAGTGGAAAGGTAAGTACACTAGAAACCATACTTCCCCTTATTAAAAGCTAATTCCAAAATATATTTACTCCTGGGGTAGAAGTCTGGGGTTTATTTAAGAGCTGACAAGTTTGGGTAATATTATTAAGAACAGCACTTTTAAAAAATGGAAGCAATTTCTTCCACTTGTTCGCAGTCAGCCAAAGCAACTGACAAGTTTCCAGTGGCTCTGCAATTCCTTTTATTACGTTCACTGCCATAAAATTAAAAAATATAAAATAAAAATAAATAAAATAAAAATAAATTAAATATTAGTGTTGGCACCTCTAGCTTTTTTTGTTTCAATAATAACCTGCTTCTCCTAAGGCTCTGAGTAACACAGTTTTGTGGTGCAGGGTTGCCATCTCCTCACATCATGGAAAAGGATGTACAGGTCCTCACCTTTTTTCCTATTTGCCCTTGCTTTCATAGTGCTATGGCCCTCTGTCCTTTACAGGCATACTTATTTGGTGAGTGTATGGCATTGCTGTGCTGCTGGAGACCTCAATGAGAAAAGACACAGAAGATACAGCTGGATCTCAGGATATGAAAGTAACTATTTCTTCCTAAGGGGGGGCAAAAAAAGAAAAGAAAAAAGAAACAACAAAAAACCTCAAGCAAAACAAAAAACACGTATCAAAAGTTTCATCCAGCCTTCCTCCAACAAGGATAATGTAAAAAGCACCAAGGCACCTACAATCCTGTTTAAATCTTAGGCTTGTGATCTAATGTGGATCATTAGACTAAAGAAATCCCTTTGGATGACAGAAAAAATGCATGTCTTTGTCAAACTGAAAAGGATTAATAGCTTTCAGAAGTGTTGTGGTTACTGACCCAGTAACTCAGAGCCACACAGCTGCTTGCTCACTCCCCCACTTCTTTCCCCACCCCTCCTGGAGGAGGATTGAACCAAGACAATAACCAGGACAAGAAGAAATGGATGCTATGGCCAACATACAATTACATGAAGCGACCTCAGGTGTTAATAGTTTGCCTGATCATTTAGACTTTAAAGACAGAAGAGGTCCATGAACATTTTCTAGCTTCTTATTGAATATGAACGTTAAATTGCAAGTATTCATCCCAATAACTGTGCTTAGGCATTTTATCCTGAGGAAGATTAAGTGATTGGGTGCTGTAGTAGGGTACAAAAGAGACAACCAGCCACCTGTGGCCAGACACTTCACAATGACAGGGAAAGTTGTTACTGAGATAGCAAGTGACCTCAGCATATGACCCCCACTGTGCAAAGGAACATGGGGGAAAATTCCTGAAACCCTGCAAAAAGTGCTTCTGAGCTCCAAAATTGGCAGTTGAGTCTAACCCAAACAGATTAGGCAGATGGCAGCGGTTCACCACGAGAGTATGGTGCACTCACTTGCAGCCAATCCCAGATACTTCAGAGGAAAAGGAAAAAAAGCACTAGACTATCTCTGCACAACCTCAGATTTGCAAGCCAGGTCTGAACATCTCTCCTTTGCCCATAAAGGCACTGGAACTTTTCCTTCTAAACCGGTTTATATCCTCTACAAAGTCTGCTTTGTACACTGACTTACCAGGGCTGAAATGTTCCCCAAGGAGTAAAACCATAACTGTGAATGGTATAGAAGCATCACCACTGGACAGCCTTACTGGCTATGTCTACATCTGGTTGAGCATACTTCTCTTTTTGCTACTACACCTGCAGCAGAGACAGACAGAGATATCATGAGAGCCTTAACCTCTACTTTGCACAGTGAGGTGATCTTCATCTGAACTGATGAAGCAGATTTTTGAGTCCGGCTGTGGAGCACAAAACAAATCCAAACAAACATCTGACTCAGCTACTAAACTGAAACAGCAGCAGCTTTAAGGAGGAAGTTGGTAGCACCACTTAGAAGTCCATGGATTGCTGCCAGCTATCCTCTTCTCCACTCACTCTAATTAATTAGCCCTGATCCCTAAATAGACACTGCCTCAGAATTGCTTAAAAGAAATGTACATTTCCATACCTCCTTTTTCTCTTCCTTTTTAATTCATATATTTGACCTTAGGCAAAAATCTAAGTTCCATCTGAACTGCATTCTGTATAAAGACATCTAGTCTCAAACCCCACATGGTGACATTTGTCTCTGTGGTTTTATTAAATGTAACCGTGACTTATTTTTCGAGCAAAAGTCTTGCTAAGTGGTGTCTTTTGGGGTTTTTTGAGCTACAGGTTTATGAATATACGTATAAACTGCAGCTAGTCTGCCTGTTCTGAACTTCTGACTCAAATGCTAGTATTTATAGCTAAAAGGACTGTAGTAGATCAATGGGCCACCTGATCTGCCATGATACTGGTTTAGTGCCAAGTGTTTCCATAAGTGTGTTCAAATGAAAAATCAATTTCTCAATGCAAGTGTATCTAAAATACTTTTTTTAATTTTGTGTAAATTCACAAATGATACAATATTGAAGTGTTGTTCTTTTTTTTTCTTTTTTTTTTAAACATACTGTACAATCAGGTTATTTCAGTGTTTTACATCAAGGCACAGCACACTGTATAACACACATATGCCTTGCCAGGCAGCAGTTTTAGTATAATCCCCGAGTTGTGGCGGTAGTGCCAGGATAAGTAGCATGGATCACATAAGCTGGAAGATAAATAAATAATAGATGCCGTCACATTTTATTTGAAATAGAGTTGCATATAAAAAGAATATACAATAATTTAACTTTAATAACTAGATTCTCTTGTACTATACATAACAGAAGTGTTTTCATTTGTAATAAATTAAACATTTTCAATATTAGGATGCAAAATTAATCTTATTTTTCTCTTTCTTGATTTACGGAGAGGAGTCACTTTCATTAAAAATTAAAGTTGAATTTTCAGTTTTCATGGCAATCTGAAAGAAAGAAAACCTGAGTTACTGGTAAGTTGACAGTGAAATATTACAATAAAATAAAGCAAATAGTTCTAACCAAACTGCTGCCTTTAGTTAATGCACTGTACAGCTAATTAGCTAAGCAGAACGTCTATAAAAGCTCTTCACAGTCTAAACACACTACTGTTATATTTGCACCATCTTTTCTATGCTGTTACTTGCCCAGCTTTCTCAGAGATTATGACCATAGGTCTGTTACTCTTCCAGGAAAATTAAAATTCCCATAATACCACAGGTTGCCTGCACTGCAGATTCTGTTTATTGCAATGTATTTACCATATCCACATTAACATTCAGCTTCCTATATTTGAACGCTTCTTCTTCGCCTGCCAAAGGCCTTGGATCCCACGTTGGTGGGTACAAAGTTGCTCTTGCCCACTCCTCCTGACCTGCTCAGGAAGTCTGCCAGGCGGTGGGTCACACAGGTTGCTGTGTTGCATGCCCTCTTCTGTGCTGTCACACTGCTTTTCAAAAGGAAAATAATGAGTTAGTTCCCAAAGTATCTACCCAGCACATAATGAAGCATCAGTGAGGGATGCTATGCCTATGAAAGATTCTTCTACAGAAGAAAAAACAGGCTTGCTGTGCAGCAGGCACTTGTGCCTTTTGTTTGGGCAGCTTATAAACTCTAGAAGATGCACCTCTATGCTTTTCTAAGCATCAGGCTCAGTTTGCAAAAGGTGGCTGAGCCCTTCGTTTCTTGGGCAACTGGGCTGAAGACTAAGCCAAGACAGATTTTTAGCAACACCTGAGCCATTGCCTGCCTCCATCATGACCATGATGGTGAGAGGTGCTGAGGAGGTCCAGGTTTGAACTATTTAACCAATCCCAATTCCCTCCAGAAGCTCAGATCTGCGCTTTGCTTGTAGTGCTGCAGAAGCACTGTAGCAGGCGCTGATCTTTAATGTCTCACCTCAACACCTACGCTACATAGTAGCCAGAAAACACATGAAACCCTAGCACAGGAACTGTGTCAGTAACTCTGATAGTGCCGTACAGAATTGACCAGTTCCTTTCAGAGCTGAACCACACATAAATATACTTTTTCCCATACTCCCAGAGAATCTAGGAACCCCTGTTTCCTGGAGTTCGACCTGTCTACTACAGCATTTCACAATGCTTGAATAATTTTTTACTAAAGCAACTAGCCTCTTCTCAGATAAGCATTAAATGACAGTTTGTTAACGTTAACAACAAATATATAACATCAACGCAATTTTTTTGGAACAGGCCTCTGATTAAAAGATAAATCAAGTGCTGCAACAGAAGAACTGTAAATAAATGTGAGTTTGTCTCTTAACTTATAATTCACCTAAACTGATATATACACAAATACTATAAAGATACCCAAGTTTAAATTATACTAGTGTAAAGACCTATCATAAAGTAAGAAGGAAAAAGGGAAATAACACAAAATTCTTACCTGGAAGAGTTCAGTACCCAGTTTTAAAACAGGTTTACATTTCTAGTTTGCTTGAACAAATCTGTATGAGCCTTTCCTGATTCCTTTACTTCTCAGGATCCTTGCTAACAATATTACACACGTCTGATTACATTAGAACCTTCAAATGTATGCACATAATTTCAATTTCTAAGTTCTTCCAGACTGTCCAGAATTAGCAGCATTGCCTCTCTTGAGCGCTTAAACAAGAACTTGTATGTTTTTTCTAGCCTTACCTAGACATCTCACATTCTAAAACAAGTTATTAAACCAAGCAGATCTAATCCTTATAGAAAAATAGGTTTATTGAACAAATGCATGGCCAAGCACAAAAGAAGAGCCTACTTGTACATTTAGCAGCAGAAATGAAAAGCCTTGTTTAGATTATTTTCTTTTAATCAGGGTCTAAGAAAATCATTTGAAATGTCAAGGAAGTGCTGTTCATTTTTATTCATTTTTTTCCCCTTAGATTGGTATGCATGTTACGTTCCCTGTCTTCCTAACATTAGGCCCCCCTCAAACATTCTCTGTCAAAAACAGAATCAAAAGAACATAGCAAAGTTAGCAATCAAAGTTAGATCCACATGCATCAGGTTAAAAAAAGGGAAAAGGGGAGAAATAAGCATGTCTAGTTGTCTCCCAGGGGTTGCCCGTATTTTGCATAGCGTTCGTGTTCCACGTCACTCAGCACATTTCGTTTCTTGCCAGGAGTTCCAGCCCCGACGTCAGTGCGAGGATAAGTTTGCAATTTGTGCAATTCTTGAGACAGTTTGCCCAGCACACAAGTACTCAGACTGGCACAGCGTTTGGAAATGGGTCTATCCAGGCTGCAGGGGGGAAAAAAACATGCCCAAAGGAAGAGAAACCTTAAACATGCACATTCATGCATTTCTTCCCTAGAGAAATACATACATACAGTTAGTAAACTTAAAACAAAAAATAAACCCTCCACATCACATTCCATGCAAGGAAAGTTCATACAAATGCAGTTGGAAGAAAAACACTGTCTTTCAATGAATTAAACATTGTTGAAAAGCAAGTTCATTAGCCTTTTGGATGCTCAGACTCAGAGGTCAGTTTTACTTCCCATGTATTCAGCATGCTGTTCAGCCTCTCATACATCACCATCATGCTTTGCAATACAAATCCTATTAGGATAATGCAAATGCTCTTGCATGCCTTTGGTCTACAGGGGAGAGTGGCGCTGCGTGCATTGAGAGGAACACGTCCCCCCTGCCAGGGACTTACCATGCCTTACGACAGCATGCACTTTTGTGACAGAGAATCCAAGAGTGACTGAATGGCCCCTAGCACTCCCACTAGGAGGACATACCTTTTGCCGTCATATTTTAACATAACCCCCTCATTCAAGCTCAAGTCGCCCTCCACTATCAGTTGTAAAAGACAGACAGACACAGGTTAACTGGGTGGAAGCGGTTCTCCGGATACCAACATTAGGATGTCTCTGCAGTATCATCCTTTACCAGTTAGGTGACCACTGTTAGCCACAACCCCCCAAAAAAGAAAAAAAATCCTGACCTGCAGAGCACGTGCTCAGATGGCTCTTACTAAATACAAACCATAGAACATTCTCTACTGCCCTTCTCCTGCCTCAGGACTGCAGTCCTTACCTGTTCCCTTCAGAGGCTTGCTCCACCTCTTCTGCTGTCATTTGTATGAACTCTTTCACCAGTGCATTTAATAATCTCCGAGCTTCGTAATCACTGAGCGTCACTCGATCTGTTATGGACTCCAAGCCAGGTCTAAGCAGAGGCAAACAAAACAGGGTGAATAAAACCCGGATTGCTGCAGAGAACCACACACAGGAGAGAGGGGCTTGTCACGCAGTACTGCATGTCATTGACTGTGTCTTTCATGGGTGTGAATATGGAAAGCATCCTCATGCACAGCATCAGATGTTTTATATATAAAAAAGCCACAGTGCAAAAAAATGTCATCAAAGAAGCCAGCTCTCTCTTTCACTGAAGTCTATACCCCTCTTAGGTCTCTAAAGAACATTAAGTATTTTCATACCATTCAGATACAGCAACAGGACCAGCTTCTTACCTGACTGGGGCTGCCTGGAAGCTATCCATCTGGCACACCACCAAGGCATAAATGGCAAGGAAAGATGAAATCTTCAGCACAACCATGATTTCCTCTCTACGAGAAAGAGGTACATCAAGAAATGGCTGTTTTCCAACCCTCTCAGTCCTGCAAGTTCCACCAAAGAGGTCATCACTTCCTAGCCACAAGTAACACAAATATTAACAGCCTTCTTTTTATTATTCTTAAATATTACCTTTCCATTTCTTTTGAATAGTGCTATTACCAGTCAAAAGTAATCATTTGGGTTTTGGTCAAAACCAAAAAATTTGGTTTTCTCAAAAGATTAAGGTAACTTAGCACTATTACAGGGGATATAAATGCAGCTTTCCAGACCTGCAGTTCTGTACAGCCATCTGCATTCAACTTACTGCAGATTTTCCCTCAAACTGATGTAAAGCACGTTTCTCTGATTAACTCTTGCATACAATGTCATACTCGGTGCGTCTGACATGAACAGGTATAGTGATAGGACACAAGTCACAACAGAAAATAAAGAAATTCTCAGTATTTAATATTTTTAAGAATGAAGTGCCACTGCCAGCACCTTAGCTGAACTGCTTGCTTCCTGGCAGCTAGCACAGTAATATCCCAGTTCAGATTACACTATGAGAACTACGTAGTTCAATTTCAACAGCTGTTTCTACTCTGAGGCCAAAACCAGAACAGGTTAAAATCTAGTCACAACAACAAAACCTATGAAAAAAAAAAAATCTGCTTTGAGATACACCTCTTTATCTCACAGCATCAATGTCTTAAGACTCTGATCTAACACAGATCGTTAAGTACCAATCACACCAGGTTCCAACCCTCGACAGGGCTCACAGGCACGAGGCCCCTCCCGAAGGACGCCCCGCTTTCCCACGCGTCCCCGGCAAGGTGCACCCGGTCGGGCACCGGGGTTAGCCCTGTACGGCGAGCCGCCCGCCCGCCCGCCCGCCGCCCGGAGGGACACCCCAAGCCGTGTCGGCTGGAAGAAGGAACAGAGAGACCGAGGACCAATTTTGTCCTTGCACACGCGTGCACAAACACACGAATGAAGAAGGCATTACGGCCACGGGCAAAGCTCTTCATCCTGGGAGGGAAACAGAACGGGACTTACGCGACCCGCCGCAGGCAGAGAAGCGGCGCGGTGCGTGGCGCGGTGCTTACCGGCGGGACGGTGCGGAGCGTGGCGGAGTCGGAGACCGGTGGAGCCGCGGAGCCGCCGTACCACTCCACACCCGCCCGCTCCGCTTTATACCTGCCGCCGCGGCAGCTTGCGTGGGCGCCCGCGCGGGGCCGCCAGCCAATTACCGCCTCGGCCGCCCGACGCCAAAGCCCGGTTCGGTAGTGACGTCATGCTCCACTCCGTGAAGGTCCCATTCACAAAAAACACCCCGTCGGGGGGGGAGCACTGCGGAGGGGACCGGGAGGCCATTCACGACACAGGGACGCGGTCCGGCCCCGCTCCCCGCGGGATTGCTCACGCGTGGCGACCTCTGCAGCAGAGGGGCCGCATTGCAGAGCGAGTGCGCTCCCTCCCCGGGATTCCCCCACACCCCGCCCGCCCGCCCAGCAGCGACTTAGGCGGGGAACCCGGTAGCACCCATCCGCCCCGACAGCAGCTGCTCTCTGGCGGGCGGGGATCCCTCGGGAACAGGGTCCTGGCAGGATGTGCTGCGGACGGGGGCACCGCACAGGAAGGGCTCCCGGCCGCCGCTTCCCCGGGGCGGGCCGGGCAGCTCTGAGCCCTGCCTGAGGGGCGCACCCCCGGCTCCCCGCTCCCCCGCCAGGCTTGCGGCCGGCACTCCGCCGCTCCGCCCGGAGCAGGGACCCCTGGCACCTGAGAACGGCCCCGCGGCGGCAGCGAGCTGCTCTGCGGGACGGGTGCTTGGCGTACCCTGGGGCTCTAGGACCATCACCATCATAACTCCAAGGGCAGGTGCAGCGCCTTTCCGCGCACGGAAGAGGCACGGGGGAAGGGAGGGTCGCCTCCCCCCGGCGCAGCGTGCAGCCCTGCTGGCAGGGATTACCGGGCAGCTGCCCGCCGCCCATGCATCACCCGCGGAGGGCCCTCTGTCACGGCGCAGCGGCGCTGCACCTGCCGCGCAGGATGTTTGCCCCGGCGGCCTGTTTGCCCAGGCGCGGCAGGTACCCGCCCGGCGGGGGGGCGGCACTGGGGAGATGCGACGCGACTTGGGTGGGAAAACACAGCTGTCAGCCGAGGCGGGCGGGGGCAGCGGGAGGGCGCTGGTCGGGCGGGCTGTTCTGCAGCGTCTGGAAGCGGAAAGCCCTTCCAGCGGCCCGCGGGAGCCGGGGGGTGCCTTCCCTGCCCGCCGTAGGGCGTTTGCCGAGGACGGCGGCATCTGTATGAGCCGCCGGTGAGAGTCCCCCGGCCAGGCCCGGCGCGGCTCCGCCCGTCCCTCGCTCCCTTCCGCAGCCGTTGGATTTCCACGTCCCCGGCTGCTGTGGCACCACCCGGTGAGTGCCGCCCGTGCCGCTCCGCTGCGGTCAGTGTCGCCGGCCCCGGCGGGGATACCGCAGCAAGCGGAGCCCCACGCACACTGCGCAGTCGGGTAGTACCGCACAGTGGGACAGGTATCGAACGCAGTTACATTGCTCGTTTCTCCACTTAAAGTGAATGGGGGGGCTCTCCCGGGGAGCTCCCGGCGTTTCTTCGTTTTTTGCTTTGCAGACACCGAGGTCACGGGTCGCTCCCGATGGCAGGAGTTGTGCGTTTCACCGGGAGGTGAACAGCCGCGGGGGGAACCGCGAGGCCGGTGCTGCTTTGTTGATGCTAGTTTAGCTTTGAAGTTTAAAAACGAGCACGAACATAGTGGAAACGACACCGCCGGTCCCTGATAACCCCATAGGGGTCTCTGCTTCCTTCCCTGTCTGTGCGCCTCTAGGGGTACAGCACCTGCTGCCGCCCGTCTCCCCCTCCCACCCCAGGCCGGGGGCGCCGCTTCTCCGCGCTCGGTTTGCAGAACGGCGATTGCAAAACCATTTGGGTTCTTGGGGTTGGGGTTCTGAGATTTTGTCTGTCTGTTTTTCCAGGTGACGTGTAGCGGTTTGCTTTTTCCTAACACATCTGCGTACCTTTCGTGAGTTACAGCCCTCCGGGGTGGGGGCGTTCGCTCGCTCCTAGCTACCACGCTTTCCCGCAGCCGCAGCGATGGGCGGGCGGGGAGGGCGGTTGTGCGCCCAGGGTGCGGACCGTGACGGGCGCCAGCTCGCTCCGTGCACCCAGCACCAGCAACCAGCTCTGTGCAACCAGCACATTACGTGGCTGTAAGCGCAGTGCCCGCCGCGGTGCGTGCTCGCCCCGGGGCTCCTCACGCCCGCTGCCCTGACTCGCCGCAGGGTCGCAGCTCAGCTGGCCCTCCCTGGGAGGCTTCCTCCTCCCCCCGCACTGGCAACTTCAACATTTCGTTGTGAAGAGCAGCTCCATCGCACGTACGCGCACCACGGGAACCCCCGGGAGAAGTAGTTTAAGCGTTTGATTTAAATCTCTTCCGTTCCCACGACTCCTGCTCTGGTTTTCAAGCTTGTTTTCCTGAGGTTGCACTTACAAACATCAAGTGGCACCTAAAGAACCTGCTCAGAATCGCTTTTGCTGTTTTCACGTGACTTGTACAGCTACACCACCAAAAATAAAGTGTAGGAACTTGAATGACTAGGCTTCCCGTCAGGTATTTCTCTCCAACGTCACTGTCCCTTCTCCTCATCCTGTGTTAACAGTTAATCATTCACATTCCCTTAGGGGATTTAATTACTCTTGTCCACATAAAGTATTCCTGATTTAACCTTAAAAATGCAGACGAGTCTGGTGTAATAGCATGTTTCGGTGCTTCAGGGAGGACAAAGTGAAATTTCATCTTGGGATTGATGCCAGGCAGTTCATTCAAGCCCTTATCTTGCCAGTGCGACTCAGCCTCGGGCTGGAGCCTGCAGCCATTACAGAGTTTCAGAAGCTAGTATTTCCACTTTTTCACAGACAAAAACCCCAGTAAATTTAAAGCAACAGGTATGAATGCCACTTCTGTGCATGTATAGATGAAATAGCACTTGGATGTTGGCAAGCACTTCTGCGGCTTCTTGCCAGAGCTCGTGGAGGGACTCCCAGCTGGAAGGCTTGTCCTGTTTGTTCCCCTCAGCTATACGTCATGTGGTGTCACCAGATATATTTTCTTTCTGCAAACCTCTCTTTCTTTCTACATAAGATGGAGAAGAAAGACATTTGATCAGTTTGTCTATTTTTGAAGCTGTAGAAAAGACAAAGATCAGAGTCACAGGATAATGGTCTCCTGTTGATGGATAAATCCAAAACTAGAGATTAAGTATTCATAGAAAAACTAGCACAGAGGGGTATTTTGGAGCACTGCACTAAGAAAGCAGGACATTTACAAAAAACAATCTGCTCCAAGGAGCTTGTTCTGCTCAATGTATCAGGTAAAAGAATCAGTGGGTATAGGTTCAAAGCAGATAAAATGAAGAGCTACAGAATTACAGGATTTACTTATGTATTTATTTATGAAATCAGATTATCTAATGCAACCTGCAGCTCCAAATAAAAGGAATTTACTCTTCAAATAAATTTATTTTAATTTGTATGCAATAAGAAAAAGCTGTCCTATTTTAGAGTTACTTTCTTTCTCTACATTAGATACAAATTCTTACAGTATTCTTCTGTTAGATATTATTTAAGCAGTGCATTTTAAAGTGCAACCATTTTTTCTACTGTAAATATTGCTATTCTATCATCAAGCCACAGACTCTGCAATGAGGTTCTTAACTGTTTCCAGTTGACATGCTGTTGAACAACAACAAAAACATTGCATCTGTATGTTATATTAAGATTTTTTGTTCAATAATAAACTGTAATTCTTCAAGGCAGACAAGATTGTGAGCTGCATGGACAAAATTTCTGTTCCCAAGAATGGTTTATATCTGACAAGAGGGGACCCTACAGAAAGGAAAGGGTTGACGGTAACAATGCTACAATCCATTGACACAGCAAGTTCTTCAAGAGGGAGGTAGGCATGATTCAGTTCTCTGTTCTCTCTAAGCCTGTTCTTCACAGTACGTAATTGCACCTTTTTCAGATAAGGACAATTATGATAAAGGCAGCTGTG